CAACCGATCGGAATCCCTTCCTTTGAAGCTCGATGGCCTGCGGGGAATCCATTACCGGGAATGTCATATTCAGGGTCGCGGCCTCTCAAAGTCGATCCCGAGGCGATCGTATAGATCTTGAGCTTAAAAAAAATGAGCACACTGCTTCTCGGAAATATGTATGCAAGTGGGGTATGAAGCTCCTCTCATGCAAATGGGTCCGCAGGAATCCGTCTATCCAAGTCAGGATTCTGACGTTGATTCTTGGAGTTTGTTCCCATCTTCAAGGGAGAAGACAGAGAGAGCCCACTCCCCCGTCCTCTCTCGGATATCGTTCCCCGAATAACCTGCGGAATTCACCCTGTCAACTCCGTGGTTTATTTGGTCACATGATCGTTTCGATCATACCAGTCGCTCTCGATGCGCTTTAATCCTGAGGAGTCACGAGAATCAGCATAAGTCGTAAAAGACGTGATTAGTGAAGACTGAGGTCAAAGACAAGACACTTGGCAGATTTCGTCGAGCCGTGCATGAACTACAGAAGACGAATTTCTACGGTAAACGGGATTTCCGATCGGAAGTCTAGTAATCGTTATTCGGAGCGCCCGGGCCAAAGCGCGGGATTCCCCAGCGGCTGGCTGCGGTAGGAAGTGTCGTCCAAGAATGGACGCTAAAGCAGAGGCAGTCGTCGCAGAGACTCGGAAGAAACCAGAGTCTAGTTCAAAAAAGACGGCGCAACGCTTCCAGACGCAATTCAGATATTGATAAGGCGATCCATGATAATTTACGGACAGGCCGCTGTAGGTAGGGCTTGATACAGTCTTTTCTCGAATGAGGTCCCGTAGTCATGGAGCGACAAGAGCAAGAGATCTTCACACTCGCATCGCCGATGTCGCGATCACGGTACAGCGCTCGGGACTATCGGCACTCCACAGATCATTTCGAAGTTGCTCGAGCTCCCGAGAAAGTATCGTCGCATAGTCTCTCTATCGAATGATATCATTGGAGAAAACAAGCATGCAGTGTGCAATCCGATTCTCCAACTCCTGAGAATAGAGGGGAAGAGCCCGATGACATTGGGCCCCGAAACGGCAAATGCCTCACTTTTACGGCGTGAGACTTTCGGAAGGAAATCGCGCGCCCACTCCTCAGAGGATGGCTATTTGAAACTCCGCTTCGTCCATGTCAAAAACTTCATCATATGAGAATATGGCGGTTTGGCTCCTCGTGGATCCCTTGAAGGCGAGGCTTCGAATCGTCGAGAGCTCTCGTCCCCGCCCACCTTCCCGGGCGGCAATGGACGCGACATCGCGGATGATGACTATGGTGTCACCTGTGCCCTTCAGCGCGGGGGAATGATCGCACCTGAGGCTTATGCGTCTGTATGATGCGTCTCTAGACCTGGTTTAAACTATCTTGCAAGGTCAAGATTCATGATCCCGTTTATCTGCAGCGATCACCGCGGAGCTACGAAATGAGGTCCCGCAAGTCCGTGGCGCAGAAACACGGATTCGGCAGCATCAGCAACTCTATCTTCTGTGGAAGATTTCCCCTCGGAAACATCGTCGTTCCGTGGCTCGTGGCAGAAGCTTCGCCTGAGAGGTCGTTGAAGGCACGGGAGACAGTGAGTCCTTCCCCTCCTCCGACCGGCAAGAAACACCCCAAATCTCTGAAACAACCCAAGATTCCACGTCCGACAGAACTTGCCGAGGAGATCCACGGAATGAGCGGAATGATATTCTCCTACTCTCCGAGCGAAAGTTCTGGTCTCGATTCAGGACAAGCATCTGATCGTCAAAACGGCACTCAGACTTGCGGAGAGGTTCGCTCACGGGAGAAATTCGCCTAGATCTCCCCTTGAGAATTTACAATGACTTTGGACGGCACGTATTCGGTGAAAAGTCGATTTTTTATTTGCTCCTAGACGAGATAATTTTCCGGAATCGCTCCGATCCATTAAATCCTGGGGGTATTCGTGCCTCGCGGTTTCGTGATCGGTGTTACATACAGTTCCCTATCATGGGCTTGAGATCGCAAGCCTAGACAAGAACATCCGGGAGATCTCCCAGACCATATGAGCGGGACCCGCAAGGGACTTCTGCGTTCACGGAGCTCATTGAGATTCGAATGGCGACATGGCTCGCCAGCCGCTCCCACTATATCTGGACATCGGACGCATGGGACATGCTCGCAGCCGACTCGCAATCGTCACGAATCAGCTGCGAATCGAAGCGAGCTCTTATTCGGTCGCCGATCGAATTAATGACCGCAGATCTCCGAGCCTCGCACTAGATAACTGAGAAGGTATTACAGACGTCAGTCAGATAGCCGCGGTCCGCAGTCGGATCCCATGCTTGGGGAAAGTATTATTTCCAGGTCACTTGATTTTCGAGATATGTCATTGCGCGTCGGGTTTGCTACGTCGGCGCCGTGGTCGAGCTAGAGTTGATAACGTGCGGAGGTAGGTAGTGAAACTCCAATGAGCAATAAAAGCTTATACGTTTCTCTCGCGGTCACTATCGTACTCTCATCCTCTCCTCACTAATTATAGGGTCGGCCGTCGGCTCGCTTGCACCATGAAAAGTAACAAGTTTCTCGATAGCGATTGCAGTGATCACCGAATTGAACTCGAAATCACGGTGGCCACGGTATCGGTCCTTTCCCTTCCGATCGCCCCCCCGGATGAGCACGATGTCAGTCATCATCGAAGTAGAAAAAATTTCACGACGAGAACCTCCCGAGCCTCTCGTGAGATATCGACCGGGTTCGCGATCATCGCACCGGGGCGTCCGCAGGAAGTGGGCCCACTGGCGGTGCCCCATTTCGGAAGGTTTCCAAGTGACCAAGAGTGAACTTTCCGGAATTCATCCCGTTTTCTGTTGAGAAGAAGCTTCTGCACGGAACATCACTTTTCTAACTTCTTCGCGCGTACGAATTTCCGAGATAAGTTTCGAAATTCGCCTCCCGACCTCATCGACAAGTTTTCTGAAACTTCGAGCGTCCGACTTAGGTAATTGGAGCGTTGGCTTGAAAGTGATTGATTCCCATGCATATCTCTTCGTTTGATCATAGAGGTGGGGAGCCGGCGCCACCAGTGCTGGTGAGGTTGCGTAACGAGCCAACTCTCATCAAGCGTTACCGTCGCTGGTGATCCGGCATTTTCCCATGGATCCGCGAGTATTATACGTCTCCCTCGCTCCCTTCATATAGGCTCCCTTTGCCCGGGGCTTCTCTCAACGTCAAGGGGTCTGTTTCGGCGAAGTTCAACAAGCTCAGACAGTAGGGTAAGTGATGTCGCTGCACGGGGCTCTTCCCCGATCCTCCCCGCGATGTCGGATTCCGGGAATCCTGGCCAAATTCGCGGAATTCGGTGTCGGCGTCGCGTCTTGCTCGAATCGGAGCGTGTCCGCTCACGGAAGATCCCCCACGCACCATGAACGTGCGCGAATCCGAGAGAATGAATGAAAAAGTGAAACATGGAATCCCTGATGCGCCGAGCGGTGTTTTGGCCGAAAAGCATTCTCGCGGAAAACAGCTGGGAACGCTTCTGTGCGAAATCTGGCCTCAGCTAAAAGATCCATACCGGACGAGCCGGAGCCCAGCATGGCACAACCGTGCAAGTCTTTTCAACGCGGATAATTGAACGGATCGCGAGCAATAGTAACGAATAATTGAATACGAACCTCGTTCAAGACCACACAGAGGATGATTATCGGATTTGGAACTTGGAGGCTCTCGAGAGTGTCGTATCGCAAATCCAGGCGACTGGGACCGGGCGATTTCGTTTCGACCTCAGAAGAGGTAATTATGCGTCGAATGCGAGTTTGCATTCATGAGAGAGCGACTAACGACAGACAGTGCGTCGGAGGCCTGAAATGAAAGGCATCCGACTGAGCGCGCCTGCTGCTCGCACCCACCTTGACGCGAGAAGGATCACCACCAGCTGGGAGAGCGAAACTAGTTGCTGTTTTCTCGTTGTCGGGATACCATTGTAGCTCGAAAATTCCGTGACGGAAGCCGCGGTGGCATGAGGGAAGGGAGCATCGGAAATCATTCCGCAGAGCATCTCTGAGGCACCTCGAGATGCAAATCTCTCACTGAGCCCAATGAGCTTGAGGCGGTGCCCACTCGCAACCAAGGTAACGAGGAGACTGCGTATCGTTAGCGAAGCATGGTAGGTGAGTCGCAATCTCCTATTTCCTGATATCCACCTTTGTGCTCCGTGCCTTTTCGAGCCCGATTAGCTCCGGAGCTCCATCTGCCCTCACAAGATCTAACTCGTAAGAATATGATCGGAGAACGCCCGATTCGCATTCACTTGAGCAGAATCTTCGACTTCGAACTCATTCCCTCGGAAGAACGGAAACTCATGGTAGACCCGTCCGTAAGCGCTCGAAACGCGATACGGACAGTCTCTCGAATTCAGACCCCTTACTCTCGATTACGGGTAGGTGGCTCTCGTTCCCAGAATCTGAGTATAGGAGCAAGCCCGGTGGGCTATTATCGAGGCAGAAGCCCCGAGTAACGATGTAGCTGTCGTTGGTCCCAATAATTCGTCACCAGATGGGCCTCTCATTGTTCGTCTGAATTTTGATCACTCGGGGCGTCTCGTATCACTCATGCGGTTCACTCTATTCATACTCGGAGCAACCTCTCTTTTCACTCTCCGGATTTTCCCCTTATGAGCCTCTTTTCCCTCGAAATCATCACCCGCACAAAGCGTGAAGGAGAGATGATGATGGATCGTAGAATGGTTCCGAGCATGGGACATTCCTGAGAACACAATGCAGTCTTTCCAGGGAAAATCATCACTGCGTCTGTGCTGACGGGCATCGCCGAGGTTCTGGAGCTACTCTGAGACCGAGGAGACTCGAATCCTGCGCGCAGCTTCTGTGGATTGCCTCCGTTCCCTAAAGAGGATACTCTCTGTCCCTGTCGGCTCAGACACTGAAGACATGGCGCAAGGCCGCGGGACCCAACAGAGCTTCTCGAATCTGAGACGGATCGAGCAATTCTGCAAATCGGCGATGTAAATTTCGCCTTGACTGGGAGCGCACGTCGTCAACATGAACGCCGACAGTCTTCCGGTTACCTCCTTCATCCTCGTGTTAGTTGATTTGGAGTGATACGAACTCAGTAGATAGAGGCATTTCCGTGATATTATTGGACGAGGGTGAGAAGATCATTCAATCGGTGATTCATCCAAATTATCGTCAGATTGTTCTCGGACATCCTGTCAATCTGACTCATTTGAGGAAACGACTCATTTAATGGGGAGGAAGTTCACCAGACGGTGCACGATATTCCCGTCAAGTTAGCAGACCTGTCCGTTCGCCGAAGCAGCGAAGATTCTCTCGAAAATAAAACTAGCAGGGTCCAGCGACGTCATTTCCTGGGCTCTCTCACTTCCAGCGATTTGCTCGACATCGGGATCTATTGATTTCTCGCGGAGCTCCGAGGGCTGGGGGGGGGGACTCCTTCCAAATAAATCTACGCTCATCTGGATGTTCTGACGCGACGTTCCTTGTTTTTTCCATAATTCGGAATCAGAGGAACATTGGCTGGCTGTATGTCGCTGTTCTTCATCGCGTGCTACTGGTGTCAACGAACCTTCAAGCGAGCCTTCGGCTCTGAGACCGAGGAGCATCCTTCCTCATCGCAGACAGTGAGTTCCGCACTTCGTATAGTCAGTCAAACAGCGTAGTCGAACCCGACGAGCTCCTCGATTCCGAGCGGGCGAACTTCAACGCTCGCTGGTAGTACGCGCCAAGGCCGAATTAACATTTGCTGAATTCCTAAAATGCATCATTATCTCGCAGTCCACGGTCCCTCCTCGGGCTGCCCAGCGGACGGTGACGCCACCACCTTCGTACAGATCAGTCGTGAAGAAAGGAAGAAAAGGATTGGGATTTCCTGACGCCCAGATACCCGAAAGCGATCCTCCAAACTACCAGGAAGCACTTCGTTTAGAATCTCGAGGCTACATCTGATTCAGTGTCTAGTACTCTCGAAACCTTCTGCGGGGCTCAGCGTTTTTATCATGATTCCCATCATCTGTAATTTTCACACGTGGCTCGGAATTACGGAACAGCGCACAGAACGCCGGGATCGAGACATTCGTTCCGCTGGTCTGGAGTGAGTTATTTATATCAACCGTGTTTTTTTTTGCGTGACGGAATATTCTCGCGCGGCAGGTGCGATACGCGAAATGTACGGGAGAGGCTCTCTCAGTTTTCGAGTCGGATCCGGTCCAGTTTCTGGTCTATTGATTTTCCATGGAGATGATACGTGGGAGATGGCTTCATTTTGATCCATTAACGATGACCATTGCCAGTGGAATGATGAGGCTAATTCTTCAAATTGTAAAATTGAAAGATGAATGACTTGACGCTTCCCCATTCCCCTACCTAAGGATGTCTCCATTCAGCCGAAAGCTAACGATCCGATTATGCAAGAGCCGGGCAGACAAAACTTCGATTCTGAACAACAGATGGAGCATTGCTTTGGCCATTGTTTCCTTCGAAATGACTCCCCGACCATTTCCGGTCCCAAATCCCAATTATGGCTCTTGATCCCACAATCGATTGGATAAATTCGTCGACGACCACCTTCCCGTCTCCATGGCTCGACCGAAGCTGAGCCTTCGCCAGTCATCAGTATCAATGGGAACGATGATCGTTTCAACTCACTTCGAGCGACTGCCGTTTCGTGGATGAGTCGATGCACGTGAGCTTGCTTACGCTCCGCACACGTGTCCACGACACACGAGGGGTGACAGGAGGGACAGTTGCTCGTGCCTGAAGACCCCGGGAGCTCGCTCCAGGAGTCAAAAGATTTCCGGTCCTATGGTTTTGGGCTTTTAAAGTTATTGACTAAGTTCAATACTTCCGATTCGGTAAGCTCGTGAAGCCATCGAAGTTTGCTAGAAGGCTCCTTTGATCTCTCACGTTTCCGTGGTCCAGGGCTGACGAGGACAGGGGAATTACTCGGGGAAGCTCGAGTCTTGTTTTTCCAAGGGCCCGCAATACCTCGCAGCTCCCCCTCCATGTCGTCCCGGATACAGGAGACCAGACAGAAGAAGTTCGGAAGACAGTAGAAGTTCAATAGGTAACGATAGCTTCCGTGATCCGATTGGGGCGAGTCCTTCACTCGGCAAGCCTGTGCGCCATGCTCACTCCATGTGAGCCAAGACTGATGCATCGTCCGAGCGGAGCTCCGCGTGTCCGGCTTTTCCAGGCCGAATTAACTTTCGGCCTCTAAAAGTTAGTTCGGCAATTAGCTTTTGCCGAAGTTATCGGCCGAATTAATCGAGCAACCGCACATTTCCTCGAACCGAACTTCGAAAGCTTTCTCTGAGCCCGGCTATGAGGGTCCAGGAATCTACGCGCCCGTCAAAAGTCCCGAGCCTTACCCGCTACTTTCACGGTGCCATCCCCAAGGCTTGTTCCGAGAGCAACGACTTTATTAGGGCCTCGTCAACCCCCCCTCCACGAAGATTCATGGTTGGAATGAGATACGGGAGATCTGCGGCGCAGTCTTGTTCCACGCCCTGAGTAGCGAGTGAACAAGCTCCACGGCCTTATCGAGGTCTAAGTACGCCTGGTGCACGCGGAGCTAGAGCAAGTCAAGGGCGGAGATTGCAGAACGGCTCCTCACGAATAAGGTTTTCTTTTCTCGCATGGTCGCCGGATTGACCGGAGTCTGAATTCAGTTGACCGAGTCAAGTTCCGAGCCGCGCACTGTCGATCTGCGGCGGCAAGCCCAGAGTGAAGACTTCATCCTCTGATGAATCTATTCGAGATGGGTTCGACGAAGTTTTGATGGAAATGCGACTCTCATAAATTTCGCCAGAGGCACTTAGAGAATGATGACCTCCAGTCCAGGTCATATGACGACTTTCGTAATGGATTTCAGCGAGAGACTTCGGAATTTTCGAGGAGCCCGTAGGGTAGAGGGAAAGCTCAACGGACAATTTCCGCAACAGGATTGGTCGGTTCTCTCCAAACGGTGGCTGCAGAGCCGTGCCGACTCCTTGTCGACACTTTGCTCCCCGGACGGTACACCTTAGTGTTCTCTATGGGTTTTCGATCAGACGCATACTCATCCTCCAAGTCCCGGCTCCCTCAACAACAACCCCTGTCCCCCACCCTAGCTTCAAGGACGCTTCGTTCACGGTCAACAGTCCACCGAACGATTCGCTCCCCGCTGAGGGACTGCAAGGATTGCAATATGATTCCGCACGGTACGCTTAGGCCCGCGAAGGATTCTGCAGTAATGAGGCGCGGCTTTCAGCCTAAATTGGAATGACGATAAACTGAAGTGCTCAGACGATTGACCGGAGGCCAGAAGGTCCGAGGATATACGTACGTGAAGACATAAGGGAGAAACATAAAGCTGAAAGAACGAGTGAAGATCAGGGGGATCCCCACAGAGGAAAAGGCGAGCGGATGTAACTTCGCGCTGCTCTATTTGAGTCCAGCCCCGGAGAGTGCGCATTCATAATCGGGGAAGATGTCTCCAAGTCCACGTCAACACGGTTTCAATCATTCGGTTACGGGGACCTGTGTGAGAAGAAACTCTAAAATCGTTTCTTCCAACCGAAGTATCGAACGAGCCCCCGATACAGGGAATAATCTGTAGATTTCATCCACACGCTGATTGAGAACAGGAACGCTTACTAAAAGAATAAAATTCTGATAAAGCGAGATTCGATCGCGTCACAACTGAAGAAAGCGGATAGAGGAATCAACGTATGAATCATTGTTGCAAGTTGGAAGGATCGCTCATGGAAGCCTTCCGTATGTGCCGCTTGGCCTTGCACGAATCCAAACCTCACGTGACGCTCCTGCTACTCAAAGTCCTGGTAAAAACTCGCCGCATCCGGCGCCTACAGCTACGAGAACGGCGCTCCTTACAGTCACTCTGACGGAACCACCATCCTGGAATGAGTCTCACGCAAAGCATCTCGGAGACGTCAAGCTATGAGCAAGCCGAGGAAAAACTAGCCGTGCTTCTAGAAGGGAAGGTTATTCTTCTACTAGACCTATTCCCTCAAAGAGCAGCGTCTTCTGACGCAATCCCCGCCGTCGACATCCCGGATGCCGATCGATGCCCTCGTTCTCGATTGCTCAGGGCAATCAAACGAATTCGAAGATTCCTATATACGGAGTATTTCTTGTTTTTTTCCTCTCACGCTCGGCAACCTCGAAATAGATTCAAGTCGACTTTGCGCATCGATGAGGGAATGATACTCACACGCGGATAAGTTTCTCCCCTGAATAATGGCGCGAGTCCCCAATCGGAAATCTGTTCCTCGCCTCGAAGAAGTAAACTACGGAGGGACGAGAGCCGAGGCGTCGCTAAGAGTGTTAGAAATATTCAACAGTCATCCGCGCTCCAAAATGCTCTGAGCGCAACTTTCGCGCATGGTGAATTCGGGAGCCGTGTATCTTTGAGCGCTGAGTCTACTGAGCGTAGCGTAGTATCCAGATCTACAGAATTATGCCTTCAGGACTTCAGGGGTTGGAACCCAGGGCTCGACATCTCAAGTGCTGTTCGGCTCTGAACCCCACCGAGTGAAAGACATGGACTAATTCATCCATATCCTTACGACTCTAGATCGTCTCACGATGTCACGCTCCGTTTATTTTCGCCGAAACCCACCTCACGCCGGTACGCGAATCGTATTGACGCTGGAATCCACGTTGCGCTAACGTTTACTGTACGCTCTAAAGTGACTGTGCTCAAAATTGACTGCGCTGAAATTCTCTCTGCGCAGTAAGACACCCCGCGCTCAGATTGACTGCCGCTCGAATGGACCTTGCGCTCATTGCGTCGGTCAGCGTGTTTCGCTTGAGAGACTCCCACTCGAGCGAAAATCGGATGTCGATTCCTAGATCTGCATGGCATGTCGATAATTCGGGTGAGGAAGAATATTGCTTTCGCAACCTAGAGACCTCGTCGGTTCCTTGTCGAGTATGAGCGATACAGGATCAAAAGTCTCCACGTCACAACGGCGAACAAGGATCTGGTAGTGAGAGTGCGATCGATCGCCGTCCGCCGAGCGCTTGAAAAGCGCTGTACAGGATGTAGTCATACCTGTATGGATGCCCCACAGTCGTGCAAGAGCTTTTCAAGGTCATTCGAAGGTTTCGAAAGAATTTCGATGTCGTCGCGTCGTTACTTCGAATCACTAAGGAATATATCCGCTGGTCTCTTGACGAGTTTTCCGATTCCGTTAGAGTCGAGATGACCTCTCCATTAATCCAAGCCCTGAGAGTTTGGGTCCTTCGTATCGTCATTACGGATAGGATGGGAAAGCGAAGAAGGGGGGCAATGACGGGAGAAAACCGTTCGTACTCCTACGATGACGTGGTTGGCTGATTGTTTTTCGGTGAGGTGATTGTGGCGACGGTTGCCCCCACGCAAGCATGACATAATGAATGCTCGCTATTTTCCGTTCCCGGGTTCGAGCTATTTGCGGCGAGAGTTATTGAACTATTCATGCACTTTCAATGAGCGGGATCGAACAAAATATTCTCGCGAGGAGCATGAATCATCCCCCGAGGAGCTCCGTGGAGGGATCGAAGGTTGGCGTTGAAGGTTGCCGTTCGGAGGGACTGCTCTCGCAGCCTGTAGGTGAGTTCGAGACTGCGAAAAGCCTTATCGATTTTCCAGAATCTTCCGCCGCAAGCTTCGATGCAACGATGATTTATGTTCCGCTCAAACCCAGAGACTTTTTCCGGGGCCTTGTCAAGTCAGAGAAAGCCTTAATCCTGCCACGGCATTCCTCCGACTATCGTGGGCACGGCGATCTCGGGTCTCTCGATTCGACGCCCGGCTCTGAGAAACCATCTCTGGTAGAGAATTGTTGAGCGTCATTATGCATGATGTCAAATCATACAGAGCTCACCCGGAGACTCAGTGGATGAAGGCCGTGCGCGTTTTATCAGCATGTATGTAGAAATCTGGCGACGCCGAAGGCTCAGATCCTCGTAGGAGTCAAACGCAGCCCGATTCCAATCCACGTCTGTTCAGTCCAAGGCTTAGGACCAATAGGCGTCGCCGGCAGACATTCCTTCAGAGGAGTCGTCGGGGACTTCCCTGTCGGAGGAAAAGTTTTTTTCGAGGGCAAATTCGCTCTGGAG